GTAGGTGAAGCACCCACACCTGCCCCCACCCTCATTCGCCCCACTCTGGGGCTGGGCCCTTGAGCAAGGCCCTTAACCCCCACCATCTGCTCCCTAAACAGGTCTCTCTTGAAAATGAGTTCTCGTGGCTCAATGAGGCTACCTAGATAAATAAAGGGTAAATAGAAAAAAAAAAAATATTTTTTTTTTGCAAAACCTTTAAGGGGAACCACAAGGTGCACATATTGGTGTTTTTATTTCTTTTGTTGTTGTTGTTTTTTTTTTTTTTTTTTTTTTGCTTTGTATCTTGCATGAAGATCCAAAGGGACACTTTAATTTGCATGTTTTATTTTCTAAAACTTGGCTTTGACTTGAGTGTTTTGGTATTTTATATATGCAAAAGACATTGAATACAGAGTGTGTGGTGTTAAAGAATTGTGCATTACTAGAATAACACCTGGTGAATGACAATTTGTTGCAAAGCAAAGTTCTTCTTAACTAGAGGAAATCTAAGATAACTTGAATGATCAGAGAAAACATGCAGCAACACAATTCAAATCTCTTACACATTGAGTTTCTGTCTTTGTATTTGTAAATATGCACAGTAATATGTGTTGTGGTACTAGTGTACACATTATTCTTTGAGTACAGTGTTGAGACGATGCCTCAGTGCACCAAAGATAGTGCATTTTGATTGATTTCATTCCACTTGTGACATATTCTTAACACTAAATGGAAAGATCCTCTCATGTGTGAATATGATGCCACAAAACTTGTTGGGGAAAAAAAAACCCTTAAAACCTTTAAGTGATCAAAACTGAGTTATTGCAAATGTGTACCAGTGGTGGTCTGTTTGTGGTTGTTCTCAGGTTGTGAATTGAATGACGTTCAGGTTGTAATCCCTGTTTTTCAATCTAAAATGAACTAACAGCTTTCGTTTTTCTTTTGTTTTTTGGTGGTGGTGGTGGTGGTGGTGGTGGTGGGTGGGGGGGGGGGGGGGTGTCATTAAAAAGTCTGTTCTTGATGGGGAAAATATTGTTCAACTCTGATTTGTACTTTAGTTTGGTCTTGGACTCTGCCTGCAGAACTGGATCACTGGCTCTTTATTTTATTTGCAACTTTAGCCTAAATTGCTTGATTAAATCCACATTCAAGTGTTTTGCATTGTTTGTTACTCTTATTGCTGTTACTGTCTTACTGTGTGTACTTTAGTTTTGCAAGTTAACCCCCCCCCCCCTTTTTTTCTTTTTAAAAATGGTGCTTCAGTCACAAAATGCAACACAACTGGATGTTCTCTTGCTCAAATGTTCCATGAATGCTTCTGTTTGTACTGAGTTTCATCTTCTTCAAAGTAAATGAAATCTTGGCATCGTTGACCTTAAAATAAAATAGATTTTACTGCGACTACATCACGTATACTCGTTCAGCTTCTGTCTCATTCCATGTTCAGGTGACCATTGCTTGTGACGCAGTACTCAACGCACCATCGGCTTACAAGAAACAGGAGCCTGAGTCCTGGGAGGAGGAGATCCAGGTCTCCAGACACGCCAGAAGCCTCAGACAACTGGACAACAAGGTTCGAATTCCACCCAGGTAGGACTGACCAGGCTAAGTTTCTTTATCGTAAGAAGGAGGGATTTATTTAGGTCAGGGGGTCTGCAGCCTGTGGCTCTGGGGCCACATGCAGCTCTTTAGTCCCTCATCTGCAGCTCTATGAAGCTTTCACCAAAACTTACAGGAAATTTAATCGTTCTGATTTTTATCCCCACAACAAAAAGGGCCTTTAAAAAAAAAAAATAAAAAATCAAATTTCTGCAAATGCTTGAACGACTACTATGTTTTTCTTTATTACTTCCAAGTGGGATACTTAATTTCTTTTTGTGTAAAAGGCCACAAATGCCTGCAGAGTTCAGTGTTTTCATTTTCATCTAGAAACTAGAAGTATTTACTTCTTTACTTCATAGTTATTTTTTTGTCCCAAAATGTAAAAACGTCAATAAATGTTGAAATTCATTATTGATTATCAGTTTTAACATGTCACCCCCACTGGTCAGAAAAGCCCCCTCCAACTAACTCAAAGTGGCCCATGGGCCAGCAGTTGATCATCACAGTTGTAGCAGGATTCGTGGCTCTGGGCTCTTTTTTTATTTATTGAGTGAAGGGGCAGAAATGGCTCTTTGATCAAAAATGTTGCAGACCCCTGATTTTAGATGAACTGTGGTGATTTAATCTTTGTCACATTTGTACTGTGTCTTATTCTCATTGAAATTTAGCTGCAATAAATGCTTAAAAGTTGAAAATGTTCAGCACAACAGTAATACAAACCTGTATGTTTGCTGCCAGTGGCTGGAAATGCCAGAAATGTGAGCTGAAAGAAAACCTGTGGCTGAACCTGACAGATGGATCGGTGCTCTGTGGGAAGTGGTTCTTCGACGGGAGCGGAGGTAACGGCCACGCTCTGGAGCACTACAGAGAGACCAACTACCCCCTGGCTGTGAAACTGGACACCATTACCCCAGACGGAGCAGGTCTGATGTACAAAACATGGCGACCGAAACTGCTGCATGAATCTAGACTCGAATATATGCTCTTGTTTTTGTCAAACAGCACAGAAATGTTTTCACTTATCGTATAAAAACTTGTACTAATGAAACATCCCCTTTTTATTAGCTTCAATATGTCGATGATGCATTAAAACAAGTTTTATAAAAACATAAACTCAGATTCATATTTAATATAAAGGTGATATATCTGGCTTGTTTGGTCCAGAGCTGCTTTACATGCCATAATGTAAGAAATGACACATTTTCCTCAAAATGCAGTTTGGCGCAGCATGTCCTGTCACTTTTTTCAGAAACACAATGTTTTAGTTGTCTTTTTTAAAAACCCTCTTCTGAAGGATGTAGTCTACTCTGATAAACAAAAACAAAAAAAACCCTTCATATTTATTGTCCTGATGCATGCTCAATAGCAGATCCCATGTAAATGTGTTTCATGGTGATAAACAGATGTGTGAAAAAGTGTTAAGTCATCACACATTTGTAATTTTTTTCTCCAAGGAGTCAAAGTTTCTTCATTATGAAAAAACGGCCCAAGTAAAAAAAACAAAATACTTATAAACTCTCCAGAAAGCTTTGAGACCTTTTAACGTGTCCTCTTTAAACAAATTACAAAAAACAAGTCTGGCTGTTTGAAAGCAAAATATAAAGAAGTTGAGGTGGTTTAAAGCTTTTACACGGGATAAGTAAATTATTTCAGGCAGTCTAGTTAGTCTTTTTTGGACCTAGCTTTTTTTTTCATTATTATTATTTTTTTGCAGGTTTTAATTTTTGTCAACAAAATAATGGATGACACACAAAAGAAAAGGGATAAAAGTTAAGAAAAACTTTCATGAGGTCTCTTTAAAATATTCTGCTGACAAAATCTTCTTTGTTAATGATAAATATTGAACGACAAGTGTAACTCATAGAAGAACTGTATGAGTTATTGACTAAAAGTGTTTACCATATTTAAGCATCAATGCATCACCTGTAAATAAACTGAGCTTTTCGTTGTCACCAACTGGGCTTCTGATTTTCAGATGTTTACTCGTTCGAGGAGGAGGAAGCTGTGTTGGACCCTCACATATCAGAACACTTGTCACACTTTGGAATAGACATGCTACAAATGCAGAAGAGAGTGAGTTCACTCATTTTAAAATTAATTTTTGCATCAGCACAATCGAAGCTGAAACAGTCATGGTGTTCCCCTCTAATTTCAGACAGAAAATGGGCACCACACAGACAATAACTCCCGACCGCGGGTCAGTGAGTGGGAGGTGATCCAGGAGTCGGGCATGAAGCTGAAGGCGGTGTTTGGTTCTGGTTACACGGGCGTCAAGAACCTGGGCAACAGCTGCTATCTAAGCACAATACTGCAAGTCCTCTTCAGCATCCCAGACTTCCAGAGGATGTGAGTACTGGATGTTATAGAATTGTTTAAAATTATTTTTAAATGATTTATGTAAGATAGGATATTTAGTCTTTAGACTTTTTGTTTTCCTTTTTGATATCAATGCTCATTACAACTTGGAGACTCCTCAACATTTCATGCAAAATGTAAGAAAAAGCTTGTTGTTGTTATTATTATTATTTTTAATCGCAATGGTGATTTCTTTTACTGCTTTTATCAGTCGTTAACAACCAGAAAATAATGAAAATCAATCATTAAAATTGTTCTTTTGTTGGCTAAAACTATGACAGTCTTTATCATAGAATCATGATCTCAAACAGCTTAAAATAACTTTGTTTTATTGTTTCTATGCGGATCAGTTTGCTTTGTTCATTGTACCACTGTATTTGGTTTCATGTGATTATAGATGATGGCAAACTAATATGAGCATCATCAGATGGTGTCTCTTCAGTGCCTCGTGCATTTCAGCAAGTCTTTTGTGTGTGTGTGTCATCCCATGCCCTGTCTGAGGTGAGTGTGTCTCCTGGTTTTTCATTTTTAGGTATGTAGGTAATCTTCAAAGGATATTTGACTATTCACCCCTTGACCCCACCCAGGACTTCGCCACTCAGATGTAAGTGATTCCGAATTTACTTGCAGTGTTTAATTGTTGTAATAATAATATTAATAATTTTAATACAGTGTTAGAGGAGGAAGTGTTTTTAAGCTACATCTGTGGCTAAAGAAGACGGGGGATAGGGGAGCTTGTTTTACCACATTACTGTTAATAAAAATGTTTTTATATTAGAACCAAAAATGGCCTTAAGTATTTTCAATACATTTTTGTGCAATCAAATAGAAACCAAAGACTTGCATGCATTTCCTACTGAAACATGGTGTACGCTTAAATTGAGAAAACTAAATAAGTTTCTTTCGGCTGCTCCTTTTTTCAGTGGTTGCCACAGCGAGCGACCTTGCAGGAAAGATTTGGCAATCGTTTTATGCTGGATGCCCTTCCTGATGCAACCTAGGCTCGAACCTGCACTAAAGTTCATTTCCACATCGCTAACAGTTTCCTAGTATCGCCTCTAAATGTCTCCTATGGATCACTAACCACAGAAACGTGCGTACACCAGCCATGAAGGTGGTGTGGGGCTGAGCACATTTCCACGGACATTTCATTCTTGACACATCTGAAGTTTTGCGTGAAAAAGGGCGTACGCCATGTTTTTGTACATGAGGCCACTGGTGTTTTGTTGCATTAATTAGTGTATTGCAGGAGGTCGGTCAGATGCGGTATATCAGACATATGTCTCAAACATGCCTTAAATATGCCACCAGAACATTAAAATGATAACTTCTTTCTCTGAGAGTATGTGTAATCTGAAGCATTTTTAACTAAACACTATTTGGTTTAGAGGAAGAGTTTATTATGTTTTATATTTCAATGTACTTAAGACAAAATGAAATAAAAACAAACAAAATATGTATTATTATTGTTGTTATTATTTCTTCTACCATCCTGTATAACAACTGTATCTTACATTCAGGTACCTAAAAAGCAGAATACTGCATTTTTATTAATAAACAAGTATCAGAAAAAACTGACAACATATTTAAAATTTGAATTATCTAAATACTCAGTCATATCCTTACCCTGGTGAATGTTTCTATAATATGTTTTTTAAATAATTTTCTTTAATAATTTAAAGATTCAGCTGGACCCTGAGGAACTCCATGACTAACTTTGGTGCATGTTGAATATTTATTATTTACATTTACAAATTGGAATCTATCAAATAAATATAACCAATTTTAGAGCCGTTCCTGTAATCTCAATATCGTATTCAAGTCTCTGTAGTAGAATATTGTGATCAGCTGTATCAAATGCAGCACTGAGGTCTAACAGGTCTGTCCATTGTTAGAGGCCATGAGAATATCATTAGAAACTTTCACCAGTGCAGATTCAGTTCTGTGATGAGCTCTAAACCCTGACTGAAACTCTTCAAGCAGATTATTTCTTTGTAGATGTTCATGCAACTGATTTGCAACTATTTTCTGAATTTTTGAGATGAAAGTTAGATTAGATATAGGTCTATAATTGGCCAGGATTCCTGAATCATGTTCAGACTTCTTAAGTAAAGGTTTAATTACGACAACCTTAAAACGCTGTGGTACGTAACCATTCATTAGAGATGAATTAAGCAGATCCAAAATGTGGATAATAACTAGGGGGAAATACCTCTTTAAATAGCCTGGTTGGGGTGGGATCTAGCAGACATATGGATGGTTTGGATGAAGTTCAAAATTCAGAGAGCTCAACAACAGTACAAAAACAGTCCAAACATAAATCAGGTTCTACAGACAGTTTATAGATATGTGAATATTTGTAGTCCATTCCTTCAGGATGTTCCTGTCAGATAATTAAACCTTGCAAGAACAAAATAAGTCTGATTCGGCTTCATGTTTGTGTCTGTGTTTTTGTCCGACAGGGCTAAACTGGGACATGGGCTGCTCTCAGGCCAGTACTCCAAACCTCCCATGAAATCTGAGCTCATTGAACAGGTGATGAAAGAAGAACACAAGGTATTAAACGGGGTATGTCCAACTCTTAAACTGGGTCCGTAACTGAACTGGAAGGTTCAGTTTGCACTGACCCTTTCATTTTATCACACTCACATAATCTCATTTTTATATATTAA